TCTATTTTCTTCATGTCCTCATTCAGGTTACTAATACAAATACTACGGCCTCAGGATCCAGCTATGCAGTTTAACCAGCCAGATCCTTTGAGTTGTCCTCTTAACATTATAATTATCACTTTCAGTGATTTTTTTCAAAAAAAAAAAAAAGGTGCTGGAACTCACACACATCATACAACCCGCCTTGCCTACTCTATAAGGTTCCATCCAAAAAAGGTGCCGGAACTCCGTTCTGGGTGTTCTATGAGAAAAAAAGCCCTACTCACTTTGTTGTTTTTGTCCAGAAGCACAATGACTGCTACAATGGGGAAGGAGAAACACCGAAGAATTGAATTCCTGGTTTATATTACCTGGTAGGCAAGACCCCAGATTACAGGCCTTCCTACAAAGACTGCTTTGGCCCCAAAAGCCAGGGCTTTGAGAACATCTGTGCCTCTTCTTATTCCACCATCTAGAAATACTTCAGTTTTCCCTTCCACCGCATCTATTATTTCAGGTAGGACGTCAATCTGTAAATGAAAATGGGAAGAGAGGAGAATTCCACATTTAATATACTCAAAGAAGAATCTTTGAGGTCCAACATTTAAATATTTAGAAGCTGTAAATACCATGGTATTTTATTATCCTGTTTGATAAATATTCCAGCTAGCCTGCTTCAAATGCTAATGTAATAACTATATATCCAAGTGTCTATTACTGAAATCCCCAAAGCTTCTGCACATTCTCTGGGAAACCACAGTCCGTGTTCTGCACCATATAATTACTAACTGCAACCTAGACTCTCACTGACACTGCATCATATTAAAATCCTTGATTATTATAGTCTTGCTGACTCTCATTCGCCAGAAATCAGTTGCTAGATTCTACTGAATCTGCCTTCCAGTGATTAGGGAGTGTCAGCTGGAAGAAACTCCCAAGATGTATAATTAATGCTTGACAGTTTCTGTCACAGAGAACTTCAAACAAAATAGAAATCCTAGAGCAGCCTCTTCAAATTTGTTGGACAACATTTGCATAAATCTCAGGAAATTGTAATTCAGTCAATCTGGATTGGTGGAACAGACTTTTCAATATACAGGTAATCCTTGACTTACAGACACAAATGAGCCCAGAATGATGGTCCTTAAGGAAATCATCACATGACCTACCCAATTTTATGACAATTTTTATGGTGGTCATTAAGCGAATTCATAGTCTACAATGAGCATGTTTTGCCAGAAACTGGAAGTAAATGACAGTTTCTTGCAAAAAATGTCATAAATACAGTAAAAGCCGCAGTGGTGCAATGGTTAGAATTTAGTATTGCAAGCTAACTCACTGCCCACTGCCAGCAGTTCAATCCTCACCAGCTCAAGGTTGATTCAGCCTTCTATCCTTCCAAGGTCAGTAAAACGAGGATCCAGATTGTTGTGGCAATATGCTGACTGTAAACCTGTTATAGAGGGCTCTAAAGCACTGTGAAGTAGTATATAAGTCTAAGTGCTATTGCTATTGCTATAAATCACAGTCACATGATCCAGGATGCTGCAAACAGCTGTAAATGTGGGTCAGTTACTAGTACCCAAAATATTCTAACAATTGTCAGAATCACATATCTGAGTCATAAATACTCTTTTTTTTTTAGGTCCGTTGGAATTTTGAATGGTCGCTAAGTGACCAGTCATAAGTGGAGGACTACCTGTAGTAGATAAGTATTAGACCCTTTAAATAAGGGAGCTAGATAGATGAAAATTCAAAATATTGTTTATATTGACATGGCCTGTGATTGGCTCCAGAATCCCATATGGTGTTCCAACATTTAGACTCTAAATCAGGGGTGTCCAAGCTTGCCCACTTTAAAACTTGTGGACTTCAACTCCCAGAATTCCCCAGCCGGCATGATTAGCTGATGAATTTTGGGAGTTGAAGTCCACAAGTGTTCAAGTTTCCAAGGTTGGACACCCTTACTTTATTTAGATCCTCAAGGACAACTTACAATTATATTGTCTGTTTGTTTTTTCTACAGGCCTGGTTAGACTTTTCCAGAGCTGACAAGATATTTACATTTTTGTTTTCCATTGCTGTCCTTTCTTCTCTCCCCCTCTTTCTATCTATACAAAAAACCGCAGATATGTAAGTCTACATATATACAATGCTTTTAGTATAACGAACACATGGTTTTAAGATTTTTTTATCATTTCAGAACAATTCTACATACATCAATTACATTTTACATTCTCCTGTTCCTCAAGCATTAAGTTCTTGAGGCATTATTACAGATCCAAACTCTTAATGAAGTGTGAATATTTGAGCCTTAGATATACAGGCAGTCCTTGACTTACAACCATAGTTGACCCCAACATATCTTTTGCTAAGTGAGACGTTTGTTAAGTGCATTTTGTCTGATTTTACAAACTTTCTTGTCACAGTTGTTAACTGTAATTGTTAAGTTAGTATCATGGTTGTTTAAGTGAATTTGGCTTCCCCATTGACTTTGCTTGTCAGAAGGTTGCAAAGGATGATCACATGACCCCAGGACACTGCAAACATCATAAATAGCAAGTGTCTGAATTTTGATCACGTGACTATGGGGATGCTACAATAATCATGTGAAAAACAGTCATAAGTCCCTTTTTTTGAACGGTCACTAAATGAACTTGTTGTAAGTTGAGGACTACCTGTATGCAGAACTGAACGACTAGACATCCAAGCAAGCCACATATAAACTATTATCAGTCTCAAAGAGCCAGTTTGGTCTAGGACAGTGGTGGCGAACCTATGGCACGCGTGCCAGAGGCGGCACTCAGAACCCTCTCTGTGGGCACGTGTGCCGTCGCCCCAGCCCCACCTCCCCCCACGGCCCCATCAGCAGTGCCCCGTGAGGAGTCGACCCCGAGCACGATCCACATGGAGCAGCACAGCCAAGGACATGGCAGCTAGGCAGCGAGTACAAGACTCCGCTCTCATGCCCCATTGTGCACAGTTGGTGCTGCAGGGCACAGGCAGAAGGCATGGCTACCATGGGGCTGCTGGGCCACCTGGGCAATCTGCGGCAGGCTGTGGAGGCAGTGGGTGGCCCTGTGGGCAGGGGGTGGATGAGCTGGGATAGGTGGGCGGAGCAGGGGCGGAGCTGGGACCAGATAGGGGCGGGGCGGGTTTTGGGCACTCAGTCTCTAAAAGGTTCACCATCACTGATCTAGGATTAGGCATCGGGCTAGAAACCAGGCGACTGGGAGTTCTAGTCCTGTCTTGAGCAGGAAAACTGGCTAGGTGACTTTGGGCCAGTCACTCTCTTTCAACCTACCTCAGAGCATTATTGTTGTGGGGGAAATAGGAGGAGCTCTAGATGTTTGCCACCTTGAGTTGTTTATAAAAATAAAGGGATATATGTGTGTGTGTGTGTGTGTGTGTGAGTGACACCAAATTGTTTGATAGTCACAGCTACGAAAGTTCAGATTGTGAACATTCAGAGACAAATGTAGGCAGTTATACAGTTGTTGTAGCTGCAGTTGTTAAGTTAGTCACAGGATGAAGAGAATCTGGTATCCGCATTCTGACTTTGCTTATCAGAAGGTCACAAGCATTACATGACCCTGGGACACTGCAACTGTCCTAGATACATGCCAGTTGCCAAGTGTCTGAATTTTGATCATGTGACCACAGGGATGCTGCAACAGTCATGTGAAAAACGGTCATAGATTACTTTTTTCAGTGCCATTGTAACTTCAAACAGTCATTAAATGAAGGGTTGTAAGTTGAGGATTACCCATATTACAAATCTTATGTTGGCTTTTATTCCCCTGTTTTATCCAATCCAACAGTCATCCAAATTTTGTATTCGGCCCCATTTGGCATGCTCAACCCATAGATTACATGATTATTTTTTTAAAATCTCCAAAGTTTCTACACCTGTTGAAATTCCTCCAGTGATGTAAATTATTCTGTCTTATACATGAGTGGTAGAGTTTCAGTCCACGGAGAAAAGTTAAGAAATTGCTATACAGGGGGGGGGGGGAGAAAGGTTACCTACCCTTGTTTGATGGTTTGAGTATGATGGAAGCTGGTTTAGCTTCCTTTTGGATGAAAACAAAACAGAAAAAGGAAACTTGCTATTTTTTCCCTTAAATTAATATTTTATTTGTTAATATTTAAAGAACGGAATAAATAGCTGCATAAGAGGGGAAAACAGAAGTGGAGAAAATAATGGATGAAGCATAAACAAAGGCTTTACCATTTCATAAGATTAAAAACTCTTTGTTTCATTAATGAATTATATAAAACTGGGATCAATGTACGATTTTAAGAAATAACTAAAAATCTCTATAAAACTCTAAACATTCATGCTGCACATGAATGAATGCACATAATCACGTAAAGAGAAAGGAAAAGTATTGAAAAAAAATAAAAAGGAGATAAATCAGTAAAACAATATTAAGTTCTGAATTCTCTCCATTGGACACAACTGGTGATTGCAACAAAATATGAAGTTTGAGATTGTTTCTAATTACTTTATTTATAGTACATCCATTATTTCCCTCTTTAAAACGTTCTCTAAGTGTCTCAGTTTGCCTTGGAGGGTACATATAAAATATAAGTTTACTCTGTTGAGTAAAAATACTTGTCTTTTCTTAAGCTAAAATGGACCCTCTACTTTCAGCTAAGCCTGTTGTTAACAAAATGTGTTCCTAACAATTCCTCTTGTTGTTACAATGGAGGCGTGGGCATCCCACATTAATAACTGCAAAAGGGTTATCAATCATGCTTCATGTCTTGGGAGTTACATCCTTCATCCACCAGCCCAAAAGTACTTCACTTCTTTCTATAATAACATTGGAGTTTAAGTGAAATTGCAAGCGAGAAAATCCACAAGCCGGCAGGCTCCAGCTAAAAAGTCTCTTCCTTCAAAGAGGATCAAGAGCTGTTTCTATTTGACTAAAAATGATTAATTAGTTATTTAATCAGCATTATCAAGCGCTTCGGTTCTTTTTTTTTCTTTTTCTTTTCTTTTAGATTAAGTAACTCTAGCCTAAGGAAGGAAAGGACATGTTTAAAGGCAGAGAAAATCCAAACCCAATTGATTAAGATGGAGAGAATCAAAGAGATAGGAAAAGTCTGTTCTGGCTATGTTGTATAGACTAATTGGTATCTTTTTGTATATGTTGTATAGACTAAATGTATCTTTTTGTATAAAACTAACATTATGAAAATAGTGATTAATGAAGAAAAGTGTAAGCTGGACGGTCACATCCTTGAGGATATACTGTAGTACACAGCAGCAACATTAATGGCTTTCCTGCTGGCAAAATAGAGATTGCCAAGTGTTGATATTTACTTCTTAACTTGAATCTCAAAGGGAATTTCCAAATATCACCAATGCAAATATGTTCCTGCTAAATCTGTCATTGTTTTAACAGGATCTACTAATTAGCAGTGCAACTAGGGAGGCACGGAGGGGATGTATGCATACTTTGGTATGATGGCATCCCACTTGTCTATCTAGCAGACTTGGAAAAATCTATCAGCCAAACAG